TTAAATTAAGGATTCCTTCTCATCTAAAAATGGAAGAACAGCTGAGGGATTGGATGCAGACCAGGAGAGGGGAATTAGAGTAACGCTGCAGTAAAATGGGGCTGAGTTGGGTTAACATTGAAGAACCTGCTGCAAAGATCATTCAAAGCAGAGCGGTTTAAACCAACCTCAGCTTAAACGCTCTGAGTAGAAGGTCGGACACCGTACCTAACAGCGGGGAGTGGTTGGACGTCTGTGAGAGTGGGAGAAAAGTCTGACTGCTCTCCAGAAGACTTAGGATGGCCTCCTCATCAACGACCGCCTCCTCTGGGACTCTCCCACTGCTCCTCTCCGAGTCTGAGAACAGAAACACCGTTAACAGTGGCAGCTCTAGATCCAATTTACCACAGGGGCCAGGCTGTTGATGATGTTACAACTATAAAATTGTATTTTTTAAGGATAAAAATCCTTAAAAATAAGACAAAGCAACTGAAATAATTAGTTGCAAAATAAATATCTACTAAAGGATAAAATAAAGCTGTGTATTGAAAATATTCGGTCCATCCATCCATCTTCCGCTGTCACAGGGGTAGCAGCTTCAGTTGGTCGGCCCAGACGTCCCTCTCTCCAGCCACTTGGTCCAGCTCCTCCGGGGGAATCCCAAGGCGCTCCCAGGCCAGCCGAGAAACATAGTCCCTCCAGCGTGTCCTGGGTCTCCTCTCCTCCCGGTGGGACGTGCCTGGAACACCTCACCAGGGAGACGTCCAGGAGGCATCCTAATCAGATGCCTGAGCCACCTCAACTGGCTCCTCTCAATGTGGAGGAGCAGCGGCTCTACTCTGAGTCCTCCCCAGATAACTAAGTCATTAGGTCAGTGTACATGAATAACTGGGAAAAATACATATTTTTGACACTGACTAAATGAAAATTACCAGTTCTACTCAAATCATAATTAAAATCTGAGTGAAAAATATATATATTTTTTTACATTTGGTTCAAAATAACATTTAGGAGATGAAAATGGTACAACTGAAGCTATCGCTTCAATTTTAAAATCAAAATGAAGACAAAATTGTAAAGAAAAAAAATGAAATGGGTGCAATTGACCCATCAGTCACTAATTCTGATCCAGATCACATGATTAGAATTTATTTTGTGCTTCAGTACAGGAGCCATGAGCAGCTGGCTCCTGTCTGGAACCGCCCAAGACTCCAACGCCACAATAGGACCAGAATGAATGAAGCAAACCAGGTGAGATGGTTGGATGGAGACGTTCTCAGTTGGTTAGCGGCCATCTTTATTTCTCTTTATGTCTTAGATGCCAAATGTAGTTTTGTCCTTCTATAGAAGCTGTTTGCTCACCTGGCTGAGAGTCCCTGTGCTCCTGCACAGCATTAGCAGCGGTGCAGGGCAGCTCGTCTGGGGTCGGCTGGTCAGGATGCAGGGTGAGCTCTGCTGAGAAACTCTCCTCATCATCCAACGGCAAATCCTGGGTTCTGAATAAAGGAAATCATGTAAATGAGGATTTTACAAGACGTGGAATGAATACCTTTAGCTCCAGAGATGCAGCGCTCCAACACAGCTTTCTGTTTTTTTCAATGACGGTTCAGATTTTGTCCAGTTTTTATCTTAAAAGGAATACAGCCCATAAACAGAGGAATAATCAAATTATAGCATTAATGGATCACTTTTAATGCCTTATTTACTGAACAGTCCGAAATAGAAACCTATCCTGAACCAATCCTGATGTGCTGCAGATTTTATCTGAGTTGATTTTTAAGGCTCAGTTTTTTCTTCCTTCATTTACATGATAAAAACCTTAGGAGTGAATTTTCTCCCATTACTGTTTAACAATTTTTGTAAAAAAAAAAGTTACTTCATCAACAAAGTTGTTGTTTTCTTAGATTATTTTTTTTTTCCATTTCAATTTCCATCTTCAAATTTCTCTACTTAGGAATTGCATTCATACAACACTTTTGTTTCAGAGCGAGTGTTTGTCTTGGGCTTAGAGCGAAGAGAATGTAATCAGTGAAACACAAAAAGAATGCAATCAATTATAAAACCTTATCCGAAAAACAGAAATTTGAAAGAAATAAAATGAAAAAAGAAAATATATATTTTTAAAATATCTGTAGTATGCAAAATAAAATATATACAGGGTTTATACATGAATGAGTAACTCTTATTTAATGTTTTTTTAATGCTCTTAGAAATAATCTTAATGCCATCAACAAGCACCCATGACTTAAATATATATATATATATATATATATATATATATATATATTTACATACAGATATATATATTTACATACACACAGCAAAATCCTTCATCATCCTCACCGTGGACAGGCTGCAGCCATGTTCCGAGTTCCTCGTTTTCCAGCCACTTTGGTTCAAATTTGCATTTTTTCCCCCATTCTCTAGCCTTTTCTCTGCCTCAAGCTTCTATTCCGAAGCACTTTTAATGCCACGAATATCAAATTTTAGGAATTTTAATGCCAATTAAGGCCTTAATTTAAAAAATAATAATTTCATGACTTTAAATTATTTTTAATGACCCACGGAAACCCTGTATATAAAAACTAAATTGAAAAAAAATAAATCTAAACAAAAACACCAACTTACTATTGAGACTTTTTTGATTAAAACATTTTTAAAAGTCTAATTTCTGGAGTACGGTTTCCTGTTTTCAAAATTTTAATTACGAATTGTTTTTTTCTTTTTCCAAATTTCCACTTGCAAAACACGTTCCTTATAAGAAATATGGAACAGAATTCACTCCATAGCTCCAATGATTTCGGTCACGATCAACACCAAACCAAAATATTGCATATTTGCACCATATCTATTTGTCTTTGCACTGCTCTGAACTTCCATAAAAATGCGTCTTTGCAAAATGCTTTTAGTCCACGCTATTTAAATTCGATCATTGCTGAATTGTCTGAAAGCTTTACAAAACAAAATGTTGTTTTGTTTACTCTATGTGTATAGAAAACAACAATAAAGTCTGAAAGTCTTAGTCAAATATCTTATTATTGGGGATTGCTTTAAGTTTTGATGCATTTGATGAAGGTAAAAGATCAAACTTTAAGAAGTGACCCTCCAATCACTGATCAATTTGCATTGATTGGTCTCTACACAAATCATTGCTTTAAAACCAAAAAGTTTAAATTTTGTTGCCCGTTTCTCTAAAGCAGACGGATTTGTAGGTGCTGACAGTGAGCTGCAGAGGGGCCGTCTGTTCGGCTGCGGCCGCTTTTTTTCTGGCCTCCAACTGTCATGTTTTATTATTAGTCCTAATCAGGGGAAGTGCTTCGTTTAATGTGGGAGGGCTGCACAGCTCAGAGTTCCTGTTGTTTGATGATCTGTATGTGTGGCGTGCATACGGGCGAGCGACGCTGCCTTGTTTGAGAGTCCGTGTAGACGAGAGGAATATGAATGGAAACTAGGCAAGCGGCCAACGGGGCTTTGTTTCCCTGCAGATTGCTCTCAGCTACAAGCTGCCAACTGGGCTCCTTTCCCTCCTCCGCTCTGCCCAACAACTCGCCACTTAGACCCTGACACTAAAACAAAGACTAGAGAGCAGCTTCTCGCACACGTACAACAAGTTGCAAAGGTTTGCACGTAAAACAAGAGGATGAAACTGGGCTATTAGTTGCTGCTACTGTCTGAAGGAAGGCTTTTAAAAGATGATGAATAAAAGTGTAACCTCTAACCCATAAGGTTAGAGGTTTAAATCCCACACTGAGTGGTGGAGGATCAGCATGAAAAGTCCTCCAGCTACTGAGCTGCAGGAATAAATCAAACCGCCATCCGAAGGATGAATCTAGGTCCAAATCACATTCTGATGAAACCCTTTGAGAACAACTGTAGGGCTGCAAAGAGGGCAGTATGGAGGGAATTTTGCTCCATTATTTTACAGAAATCAAAATTTGAAAAACTTTATTTAAAAAAAAAAAGTTTTGAAAACTCAGATTTTATTTTGAATAATGTTTTTTTCTTACTTTCTTTTGAAATTGCCTTTCTAGATCACATTTACTAAAGCGCAGTGCGAACGCTGGACCCTGACCAATCAAAACGTGGTTAATGTTTATAAGGTCAGTACCTTTCTGCTGAACGAGTGCAAAAATCCAAGTCAACTACCATGCAGTCTTCCCTGAGCTCTCTACTGTGCAGATATTTCTATATCTATGGGAAACATATTCCAGGACATTACAACTTTTTTTTAGGCTTTTTTGTACTAAATACACTCTTTTTATATTATCTGTAGTATTTTTATCTTTAATGGCATCTTGCTTTAACTCTTTGTACTCTATATAAGCTACTGGAACCAAAATTTCCCTGAAGGAGTAATCCTAAGGGATAAATAACGTCTCTAAGTCCTAACGTCTAGAAGACCTATAGAAATGCATCTCTAGTCCTCACCCCAGATGAAAGTCCCCCTCAGAAGTGAAGATGTGGAAAACATCATTTCAAAATAATGTAATTTGTAAAACTCAACCTGAAAGGGATAAAAGTTTTTAAAAAAAAAGTTTAAAAATCTGAGTAAACAGCAAAGTTTTTCCAAATTTCGATTTCAAAATGTGTTCTTTGCAGCAATAATGGAGCAAAATTCACTCCATAGTAGAGAGACCTATGCTACGTTCAGGCCGTAAGCAGCAGGAGCAGTAAAAACGCGTGTGCTGCTTCATTTTTGATGCTTGAAGTTTAGTTCTGATGTGTGACTGAAGCGTCTTTGCTGCTCTGGCTGCGCCGTGGAAAACGTGGGTGATTTTGATTTTTTTCCATTGTGAACACAGCACACTTTAAGCGCTTCCAGCTCCTGATGGCTGCACTCTTCTGTGTTAAAGTCGTTACTAAGGGAAGTTATTTTCAGTATTGGTGAGGTGATAGGAGGACAGATATGGTTTATTTAAAAAGCAACACCCTTTTCTACAGAGCTGTCTCCAGCAGATGCTGAGGAACAGGAAGTGGCGCTAAAATCAGCAGAAAGCTACAGAAACTCAGAGCAGAGAACTCTATGGGTGTGGATCTAAAGAACAGAAAACTGAATCAAGTTTTTTCCCCCACAGATTGATATTCTGAGACTTTGTTATGAAGAAAAGGCTCCAGAGAGTCGGCTAGCGTGAGCCACAGTCTGTCTCTTAATTAGTCTGTTGCTTAATGACTTTAGAGGCGGAGAGGGAGGGAACCTGGCAGGCGTCTGGAGATCACTGCGGTGATTAACACATTTCAGCAAATAGACACACCCCATTTTCCCTCCAGCACCGGTTTGGAGAACAGGAAGCTAAAACGCTCCTGATAGTTTCTGAGACAGCTTTGGCTTTAATGATTCACTGAAGGAACGTCCTTCTGGGACTTTTTTCCTTGTGAAACACAGACAAAAGAGACACTGTTGCAAAAGACGGGCTGCTGGTTGTTGCAGAAGGCACCCGCTGGTTTCTCTTGGTATGAAATAAAAAAGAAACAGAGTGTAATAACGCATAAAACCAAGATGTACGACATGAGCTGGCTGCTTTTGTTCAGGTTAGAGAAAGGAACTATTCTACTGCAGCACATTAAACGTCAATCATAACTTCGAGCATCTGGATTGACAGCCTTGAGCAATAAAAACTATAGACCTGTAAAGTCAGCTGCAGTTTGCCGGCGATTACTTTCCCTTCAGGGGTTTTAATCCTCCTAAAGTAAGATGGTGGGCTCAGGTACCTATCCTGCATCGCTGCTTTAAGCTCCTGTCACACCTTGACGATTTAGATCTGCGTGTGCCTGACGTATGGAAAACGTGGCAAAAATGCTGGCATATGTTGGATAAGTTAGGAGCACGCTGAAGCACGCTGGCAAGCGTCGGCACAAGTACGTTGAGACGTTAGCCAGCGTATGCCATATGTGGGCCACGGGTTACAGGAAAGTTTTCTGATCTTGACACACGTTATGTGTAAGTTACTCATAAGTTTTGGCGTCTAGCTTAAACTGTCAGTTCTCCTCCAGACAAACTTCCTAGCAGACATAATGATGATGATCTCCTGCGACTGAAAACCTTCTTTCTTTTTCTGTTTTCTTTTTATTTATTCAGTTTTTTTGGGGGGTGGGCGGTATGATCACTGCTCCTGATGCGCCTGAGGGGAGCAGCTTTACACTGGGAAAAATAGAAATCTAAATAAGTCATTTTTTCTTAAAATAAGTGCATTTGTTCTTGGATTGAGGAGGTATTTAGCCAATGGAACAAGACGTTTTCACTTAAAATAAGAAAACACAATTGCATTGTCTAATTTTAAGTGCATTTTATCTAATTATCTTGTTTTAAGATTAAAAATGCTCATTCCATAGACAAACTATCTCATTTACCTACTCAAATTAAGGGTAAATATGCTTAATTTAAGACATTTTTACTTATTTTACTTACTGATTTTAGTTTGATGTGATTTAACACTAAGGATGCACGATATTGGGATTTTGGCCGATATCCGATATGCCGATATTTTAAAACTCATGTAGCCGATAACCGATATCGATACCGATGTTAAAGCTGGACAAAAATAAGTAGTCATTGAAAATAGCAGTTTTGTTATCCATTTCTGACACTTTGAAAAATAATAAACTCAAATATATTTTCATATGCTGATATCAAATTGATTTTTAAAAACGCGGTATCGATCTATTTTACTTTCAAAATCTCGTGAAATTTAATCGTTCTGTTACAAACTCTCGTGATATTTTGTAAATTTTGTGAGATTTTGTTAGTAAAATAGATTGATGTCGCGTCAATATATCAACATATAAAAATATGGCAACATTTTGTGAATTTTCGGGGGATTTCGTAGCATAACGATGACATATAGCAATATTTCATTAGTAAAAGAGATTGATATGGTGTTTTTAAATGGCAATATATCAGCATATGAAGATATTGGGATATTTTAACGTATCAATATTTTATCCGTCTTTAGAAGTTTTTAAGTCTGTAAAAAATAAGTTTTTGAGGAAGAAGAAGAAGTAGTATTTTTTTTTTTTTTAGACTTTAGAAACTCAGAAGCTGATCAAATATCGGGTTAAATATCGGTGGGGTGGCCGATGTCCGATACTCAGTTTTAAGGCCGATACCGATAGGGGGCCGATTATATCGAGCATCCCTATTTAACACTTGAACCAGGCTGAAGCTATTAACCCATTTGAGGAGTTTCTCGTTAATATTTACAGAAAAAGAAGGTTTTTCCTCTGAAACTTTTACTACTCTCTTTATTTTAGCTTCTGCACCAGAAGTGGACCAACCTAAATGGAACCGCGTCTTAGAAGCACAGCCTACCTCCCACATGCTTGACGGTGGCTGCTTTTCAAAGTGTTTTGGTGATAAACACCTGAACATTGTGATTACTACACAACTAAAACAGCAGAACATGGAATCTAAGTAATTAATTTGTTCTGGAAATAAGCATAATTTCCCTTTTTTTGAGGAAGTAAGTTAGAAAATTTACCGATAGATTAAGAGGATTTCTGTTTTACGTGAGATAAAAAACAACTTCATTATCTAATTCCAAGGGCATAACATCTATTCATCTTATTTTAAGAGAAAAAATCTTATTTAACTCTAAGAAGCATCATTTTTTGGCGTGTAAACCACACACTGGAAAAAAATCTGGAATTGCAAACAAAGGCTGCTTTACCAAATATTAACATTGATTTTCTCAGGTGTTCAAATATTTATTTGCAGCTATATTGTACAAATAAATAGTTATAAAAAAATCATATATTGTGATTTCTGCATTTTTTAACTCAGATTATGTCTCTCAGTGGACATGGACCTACGATAACAATGACAGAGCCTCCATGATTTCTAAATGGTGAGAACTTGCAAACTAGCAAATACTTAGTTTCTTCCCTGTAGCTATAAATGTGAAACTGCATCATGTCTGGATCAAACAAACAAACAAAAAACTAAACAAATAATTTCTCTCAGAATAAAAGCGGCTTTAAGAGAATGTAGGAGTCTGTGAACACTAAGCATGTCCCTGCTCCGCTTCCTAACTTCAGTCAGCACAGAGCGCTGCGCTGCGATCAGGGATCCGAGGTTAGTCCAAGGAAGCCATCTGGATCCGATAAGCAGTGTGCAGATGCAGAGCCGACTTTACTTTCATTTATAAGAGGAAACGCTGTGAGGCTGTAGAGGAAGGAGGCGTCTGTGGATGACCTCAGCACGCCCCTTTTCTCCAACATCTGCTCCGACTTCACTTTCCCTAGTTTTCCTTCCCTCCAGCTCCACCTCCGCTGCACTCAGAGGAAAGCTGGCAGCAGAAAGGGACATTTGGTGTTTGGTGGGAAGTTTCTCTCTATGATCAGGAGCATCTTGCTCTAATACCTGTCAGCCTTCCCCTCCAGATGTCCGTAGGGAAATGGAGCAAAGTTTCAACCATCTCTTTAGACAACAGACAAAGGCGGAAACTTACAAATCAAACTTGTTCTCCCTCAGGATGTCCTTCAGTCTCTTCAGGAAGGTCTGCTCGCTGTCCGTTAACGTGACGGAGCTACGCTCTGGAACAGAGACAGAGGAGATTTTCTTTTACTTCTCTGCAGGAATTCAGTTATTTTCTCTTTTATTGTTAAACCAAACGGAGCTAATACATCAATACAGTCAGTGACAGTTAAAGCCTTAAAGGTGAAGTGGAAGATGTTCCTTAAATCAGCCTCAAGATAAGATCATCAAAAATAAGTCCTCCTAATTGTCATGTTTACATCAGGCCGTCCTACGCGCTCGTCCACATTTCCACTTACCGGTGGTGAGTCTGACATAGTGGAAAAATTGCAAACCTTTTTTTGTAAAGTTAGCTTGTATGAGCGATACAAACAGCAACGTTAAAAGAGAGCGGGCACCAGGAGAAATGGTGCATGCTCTCGCACGCGTTTAATAGGCGTTCACTCTAGGAAGCGGGTACAGGGTTGTGCATGTGCATTTTTTTATAGTGGAGAGGGCGTGTCTTTTAAAAAAATTGCGGAAATCCTAGACAATACCTTTAATAAAGCCCAGAGGTTTGTCTGTATCACGATCTTTCCAACAAACAACATAGAACAAAAAATAAAGTTTTTTCCAGGCCTTCTTTCTGCACAGTTCTCTTATCGTCCTGCCTGCAGGCTGGGGTCTGGACTTTGACTGGACGATTACAAAACCTCTCTTTATTTCTGTCACTATTATGGGTTTTTTCTGATGTTGGTAAGCTGGGGTTTTTTTCAGAAAAAAAGCCCATATCATCACTCCTCCACCACTATGCTGGATAGAATGTTAGCGTTTTACCAACAAGGTGCTGTTAATTTCAACAAAACATCCTTTTCTCTTCTTTTACCCAATTTTTTATCAACACACTGTCACAAGTTCAGAGCAACGAAATGAAGGGGGGATGGGTTAAATGCAGAGTAACAAGAAACAAAACAACAAAGCATTAATCCATCCCCTTGGGGAGCAGTGGGCTTCCATTGTGCGGCGCCCATTGAGCAATCGGGGGTTAAGGGTCTTGCTCAAGGACCCAGAGCGGCAGTCTGTGGGAGTGGGAACTCAGAGCACAAGCGCAATGCCCTAAACACTAGGCTGCCACTCCCCAAAGCATGAAGGCTCTTCCCTAAGGACCCACCCTGGCAGCTCATCCCCCCCAGCTGGGATAAGAACCCTGGCTGCCTGTTTGCAGACCACTGGAGCTAGCCAGCCGCTATTGCCAATCAGTCTTTCAGCAAGTTTAGGTTTGTTTGTTTTTCTTCGATCATGTTTCTAATTTAGTTAAGTTTTCCTTCTAAAGCCGGGCATACACTGTGCGATTTTTTTTTATTGTTGCACGCAGCTACAGCTCACACTATACGATGAAACCGCAAGGTTCACAGCTCATGATGTATGTTCTAAAACTGTGTGAACTGATATTCTGATGTGATCTATTGTGATGAACTGATACCAATACCACTATCAGGCGGGGCCCCGATCTAGCAGCAAAATGTTGGTATCAGTATCAGCGAGTGATATCACTGATACCATATTGAGAGCCAAAAGTTTCTTCAACTATTGTCATCCATTCCAGGTAGGCAATAAAAAGTTCTACTGGATTCACTTTGTTTTAGTCTTTTTCCTGCTTCAAAAAGGAAGGCAGCAGCTTGACAAAGCCATGATGGCAATTATTTTACATCCAAGTAGTATGCAGTTCTTCATATATACACACAAAGATGGTATTGGCTGATACTGCACAGCCAGGTATCGGGGCCAAAAAATGGCATCTACCTGCTCACACTGTACGTCACAAAAAACCGGTTGGAATTCAGCTCCGCAGTTAGATGGCGCTACTCAGACTCGTCTATCCAGAAACCAAACCAGTAGAAGAGGAACATGAAGCTCACTAGAGTGAAACGCGCTGCCTTTTGCAATTTGTGCAATTTTGAGCTGAAAGCCCTAAAAAGAAAAGGAGACGACGTATTTGGAAAAAGACATGGCTGAGCAAGTGTGGC